AGATTAAAATTCAAATAACAAACTTACCCTTAATGAAATAAGATAAAACAATAAAAACAAATGAAAATAGGGACTAAATGGTCATTTCACATCATATTAAAGCACCTTCCCTCTGAATCCTCTAATTTTTTAGGGTTGAACAAATGAGGGAGGGGAGGGAAATCTACTTAAAATTTTCCCCTCTCTTCCCTTTTAATTTTGCAACCAAACAAGTAAAAACTAAAACTATCCATCCCTTCCCCTCCCCTTCCCTCAAAATCCCTTGAACCAAACACTACCTAAAGTAAGACCAAGGTATTTTGAGGAAGTTTGAGGGGAAATGCCTAACAATATACTATAGATTTAATTCTGAAGAGGCTGAAGAATATTTTTGCTAAAAAAATATTGAAGATTTAGTAAGGCTCACTTTTCGCTCAGACAAGATTTGGTAGTTTTGTAGGATTTGAAGCAGGGTAGTGGCTTGATGGGTGCCAACTTTAGCAAACAACAGTGTGTCATATGCAAAAAAGATGTGAGTGAGGACAGGACATTGCTTAGTCAATTTGATTCTCTGCGGGGTACCTTTTGACATTTAAGTTTTTATACGATGGGTTAGATTTCTGAAATCAGGATGAAGAGATAAGGTGAGAGTAGGTCACCCTGTCTTATGCCTCTTGAAGGTTTCAGATAACCTACAGTTGCACCATTTACATTAAAGAAATGAAAATGAAATACATTGCATATCTACATAACAAATAAGGAGTTAAAGCCCACCCTGTCAAAAGCCTTACTCATATCCAATTTTAAAGCCATGAAGCAATTTTTCCAAGATCCATGACATTTGAGAAAGTGATTGACCTCATTTGTAATGATCACATTTCAAGAATCTGTCTATTTTAAACAAAGACTGATAGGTTAGCATTAGTAAAGATTGGAAGGCAGGGTTTTTTTCTATTTTCAAGGATTTTGGAAATAATTGTATAGATAACATTGAAAAGACTAATTAGCCTATAATGAGCTACCATCGAAGGGTTTGAGCATTTGGGTATCAGTGTTATTAAAGAGTGATTAAAGCTTTTTAAAATTAACCTAGAATCAAAGAAGCTACTAACAAGAGAACGGAGAGCATCGTTAATTAAAGACCAAAAGGAATGATAAAGTTTGAAGTCAAACCATCATGCCCAGGAGCCTTAATTGGGTTTATGCCAAAGAGAGCTTCTTTGATTTCCACTGTACTCACCTGTGACACCAGCTCTATATTTCTGTCCTTTGAAATGACCTTCGCAATCCCATGAAGCAGTCTATCCCCATTGTAGCTACCCTCAGATGTGAAAAGATGAGAGAAGATTTCTTCAATGCAGTGCGAAACGGCATCCTTGTTTTCATAGATGGTGTTATCCTTTCTTACCAGTCTCATAATTTGGTTCTTCGTTCTTTTCTACATTGTCTGGGCATGGAAAAACTTGGATTATTGTCCTCGTGTTTCAACCAATTGATCCTAGACTTTTTCTCCTACAATTGTTCCTCAGTTCCAATCCTTCAGACCTCCCTTTTCTTTTTCTGAACAGGTTTGGCTTTCTGTTGCAATCCTCAATCTTCTTAGCATTTTCAGATCTAAATGAGCTACTCCATTTGAGTATTCTATCCTTGTGTCTTTGATCTTAGAGTGGAGACAGTACCATGTGCTGGGATAAAGCCATTTACACCCCACTCCGCTGACATAAAAAACGTTGAAAGAAAAAGAAACCCCAGTGCAAGGGAATGGGGTTCCCAACTGAGGTTTAATCCAGGCTTTATACGCAACTTCTTCTACTATAGTCTTCTCTAACCACCTCTTGTCAAAATAGAATAGTTTCTTTTTGTGATTAGATCCTGAATTACGATTTAGGAGGAGCAAACCGTGGTACGGAGGTTTACTCCAGGCTTTATACGCAACTTCTTCTAAAACATGCATCTCTAACCACCTATTGTCAAAAATAGAATCACTTCTTTTTGTGATTAGATAATGAATTACAATTTATGAGGAGCTAGTCGTGGTCTAATGAGCTCCTAAATAAGTTTTGAACATGAGCCTATGAAGGGATAGAGTGCCAGTTAAAGGAGGCAAACATCCTGTCAAGTTTCTCTTCTATGAAGCCTTCATTCAAACTATTATTACCCCAAGGGAAGGGATACCCCTGCATCTCCAATTCCAGCATGCCCATGCTACTAATGAAGCTGTTGAATGTGTTGCAAGAGCTCTGAGTTCTAGGTTTCCCACCTCTCTTCACCTCTGGATTTGATAAATCAATTAAGTCACCAGTCAAGAACCAATACTTCCCCCATTTGGCCATTTCTGAGTTGAGGTACTCCTACTGAGTTACCCTTTCTTGATGATCTGTTCTAGCATATACAAACACTCCCATGCATAACACTTTCTTCGCCTCATTCCAAAATTCAACTTCAATGCCAAAGAATTCTTAATTATCTGAAATACTTAGACTGAAGTATCCCTAAAAAGAAGCAAGCTTTCACTCCTTCTAAGAGCTCTACAGAAACTCAACTATCTTTAACTCCAGGTTATTATTACAAACGGTGCTAATGAAAGTCTTTTTTTTTTTTTTAAATAAGAAGAAAAATTGGGGTGGTGGAGTCTCCAAACCTCTTTTATATGCGGAAATGAAAACAATAAATCTCATATATTTATCTTATGCAGGTCCCACATGTTTTCCACTTATAGTATTTTAAAATTATTACTTTCATCTTTTCTACTCTCTTTTTCTTATTTTTATATTTATTTTATGCCCACTTGGAGAATTATGTGAGGTTTAAAATCTCAAACCTGGTTTAAAAACACAAACCTCAAATTTCTTTTCCTATAATGGTAAACCTCATAGATTTGTGTTTTTAAACCACTCCAAAACCTCTTAGAGCAACTTTAACAGAAGGTTTTTAAAAGGTCTGTAAACCTCATTTTTCATTGTTTACCATTAAAGTTGTGAGCTTTGAGGTTTAAGAATACAACCTTGTGTTGAACATTCAACACTCACATAAACCTCACTTTATAGCCCCACAACTATCAAGCATGTCTCCCTTTAGTCCTTTTTTTTTTCTTATCTAATTTCATGCCCGTTCTTTCATTCTTTGCGAATCCAGTGTTTAATATTTTTCAATTCCTCTTGTAATATATTCTGTGATGATAATTTTTAAAGTTATTAAATCATTTTTTAACACATTATTAAATCATGGTAAAACATTTTCTTAACATGCTAAATTATGTCAGTTTTAGTTTGAATGATATATTAAATCATGTTTGATTGATTTTTTAGTTTAAAAATATGAAGTGATTTAATATTTAAAAAAATAAAAATCAAATATTATTAAGAACAATAAAAATATTAAATATTTTTAGAATTAACTTCACAAGTGATTTTATCAATTTTTTTAAATTTTAATTGTACGTAAAATATATTTATTATGGTACATATTAAAAACGTCATTGTAAAAATTAATAGTTAAGTTATTAGTAAATATGAATTAAATTAATATATAAATTAAATTAAATGGGAAGCATTCAGGGCCCATTAAAAAAAGATTTGCAAAAATTATGATTATTGGAGGTTTGTGATATCTATATATATATAATAATTGTTGGCAAGACTTTTAAAACCCCTAGCATTTTCCCGCTTAAATGCATTTTCATCTTATATAGTAAGTTTTCATTACTTTATCAATATGGTAACATTATTATGGTTGTTACTAATAGTTATTATATATTATTGCATGTTCTTATTTGTTTATTATTTATAGTGATGTCTTCTTGATTATTCAAAGTATTCATAGATCCTTTATTTTCCATTTTTATTTAATTTTTTTTCACCTATATTAAAAACAATTAAAAATGAAAAAAATACTAATAAAATTCTTAACAAATTATATTAAAATTATTTCTTGTGGTACAAAATCATGGTAAAAAAAACAAATAAAAACCCATTTAAGTACTGAAAGTAACAATTCAATATTATTTACTGCAATTTATGAAGTATATGTTGTCCTCCCATCAGTTATTCGTACAGTTTATATATGTGTATAATTGCTGGCAAATCATTAAATAAACCTAACAAATTTTACCTTTGTGGCATTTTTCCTTCAATAACTATTACAATCCATTATTATTATTATTATTATTATTATTATTATTATTATTATTATTATTATTATTATTATTATTATTAGTAATTTAAGATTTTTTAATTAATTGTAGTTATAATTACCTAAATGCCAAATCATTTATAGTTTAAATACTTAATAGAGTTATTTTGTAACTAAATAATAATAATAATAACAATATCCTGTGCATTTGCACATATATAAAACACGTTTTTGTTTGTATTTATTAATTAGACATGTACTTCTATCATATACAGATTATTACTTTTTCTTAAGTTATTTTTATCATTCAAAATTAATTGAGATTTAAATTTTATTTTAACCATGCAACGTTTACATTAATAACATGATTAAAATAATTTATATATATTTGTGGCATATATTAAGAAAATTAGCATAAATAAAAAAATTACTGGTGTTTTTTATTTTAGAAAAAAAAAATGTGTCAATCATATTTTTCTTCCAACAATACAACCAAATATAGCGGTTACAACTCTGAATGTGTCAATCAACTTTAAGTTCCAACATTAGCCGTTACACATTTTAACATTTTTCTACCGAATTTAGAATTAATTTAGTAACTGATCAAAAAATAAATAATAAAAAATATATAATAAGGTGTGACGGTTTTAGCAGAATAATGAGTAATTAATTGAAAAAAATGTAACTCCTTTTGGAGGGAAATGAAAATATGTTTTATTAAATGTTTTATTAAATGCGTCAGCTAGTAATTATATATATATATATATACATATATATATATAGACAACAACAACAACAACAACACTAATAATAATAATAATAATAATAATAATAATAATAATAATAATAATAATAATAATAATAATAATAATAATAATAATAATAATAATAATAATAATAAGAACAATATAACGTCCATATATGCTAATAGTGTTCTAACCAATATAAGGGCAATAAACATGTCAACAGTGTTTTCTTGTTAATTTATTGTTTTTTTTTAAGTGTTAATTTATGCTTTCTTTTTCAGTAACATACTTATGTTATTGTCCTTCATTTTTTAAAGTATTTTAAAACATTAGAAAACAATTATGTTAGTAGTGGTCATCAAAAAGCTGCATGGAAACGCTGCTGATTGTAGCGTTTTCCAATTTGGCTTCTTGGAGCAAAAAGCTAAGTGAAAAAGTCATTTTACCAAACACAATTATTAGCTGGTCAACAAGTCAAATAAGCTATAAAATGGTCAAACAACTAAAAGTTGGCTGAAAAGCCAATTACCAAACACAGCCTTAGTATCTTTGCATTGGAGTGAATTCATTAATTTTTGCTTTTCTCTCGCCTCTCTCTTGCTCTAATCTCTCTGCGCCGCATCACCGTCTTACTCAATAGCCTTCCGCCTCTTCCCTGCAGAGATTTTTCTTGCCTTTGTCGTTGTAGCCGCTGGTCAGGGCCCCCGGCCTCTCGCCTCGGTAGGGATTTCGCGGCGGACTGAATATTGGTCGGGCTGTGTCGCTCCGGCGGATTTCAGGTCGTCTCGT